AATAATTTATAGCTTTTCACCTGCCAGGATAATAATACACGAGGTTGAAATAATGATCCAACATGGCAGCAATTATTTCTGGTATGCTTAAAAAGCATAAACAGGACTGGATGTTTCTAGCCCAAATCAAATACCATTGCTATTAATTAGCTAAATGTGGGAACAACCACTTGCAATTTTTCTTGAAATAATTTAAACTTTTGCAAATATGCATGTTTCATGATTTCAGCATATTGTTTAAATTTTTGAAACTCAAAAATAACTAATTTTGAAATATTTGGGATATTTGAAATATACTACATATTACTAAATGTTCATTACCTATCAAAAGGATGCATGAGACTCTTCTAGGTGCTATATTTACACTTACACATATGAAATAGAAGAAATACTGTCCTGACTTGATATTGTGTCCTATACATTATAAAGGTAGCCTGGATTCTTAGATTTTCAGGACAAATTGGCAATCATATTAGCACCACTGCTGAGATTAATTCTTGATATTGTGTCATTGGACATGGTTCCAATTTCTTTGAGTGAATTATCTCATTCCATTGTTATTGTGAAGCAGTACTCATTCCCACATTTTACAGATGAGAAAGCTGAGACCTAATATAATGAGGCCTTAAACCATGTGTTCAGGAAACTCAGAGGACCATGGCTTATTTGGAATTCAAATTGGTTCTAGAACACAAGCTCTTAGCAAATATGTGTGCTACACATATAGTGAAAATCAGTTTTATTACAATAAAATGTATGAAGAAATGTTTGTGTATTTTTACTGTCTCACTATTCTCTTCTTGTACCTACTCTGTTGTGGATTTCAATTAATTCCTTTGGAACATTATATTCCTAATCCACATCTCTCTTATCCAAGAATACTTCTTATAAAAGACATTTGAAATTGTTTATCTTAAAAAAATAACATAAAGACTATTAGCTGCTCCTAAAGATACACTGAAACCCCTAAGGTTTTTCTCACTGAAACAAAAAAAAAATATGGAGGCCTGGGATTTAGCTTAGCGGTTCGGTGGCCTGCCTTGCAAGCTCAAGGATCCAAGTTCAATCCCCGGTACAAAACAACAACAACAACAACAAAAAAACCCAAAAAACAACAAAAAACATGGAAACATAATTCATTTTTATGAATTTTATTTTTATATTCTATTACAATGTGTAAGTCTTAAGTATAACTACAATGTAATTTCTAACAAACTCATTTTGAGCATTCATAGATCTATGAAATTTGAAAAGAATTCTATGCAAACAGCACTATGATATTCATGGGTATTCACTTAGTTTCATCAAGCAAATCTTGATTGTTTTTCTGAAGAATATAATAACTTAATGACCACAAATATTTTAAAAATTGTTGGCCTCTACACATAGATTGTAAAGCTGGCCAGTTACTGGGCTATCCTAATTTAGCTGGCCCTTTTTTCATTACTTCCATTAGCATTTCTCTGAAATTGCTATTAAGGACTGCTTATTTACACAGACATTTTGCTTTTAGTCTTTTTAATAAAGCTATCAAAATTCTATAAAATCGTGCTACATATTTTGGGTTGAGATTTTCAACAATGAGTATTTAGAAACAGGCCACAAGTCACTTAAACATTTTGCAAAGTAGGTAGCAAAGAAAGGTAAAATGAGGTTCCCTCATTTCCGTCCAAATTTTTGTAAAAGTTTGTGTTCAGATCTGTTTGTTTCCACTTTATTCTAATTTAAATTGCACAGTGTAACTGCCATTCCAAATCATTAAGTGACAGAATGTATATATTACTATGATAGTTCCTTCAGATGGCTGGTATTTTATAGTCAGTATAAACAGTTACCCTCATGATATTCTAATTTTACTTCAAGCTTTACTTAATAAGCTCTTAGTGCCAAATATTGTTCTTAATTGATAAAACATAGGAAAGGGTCATTTCTAGGACAAAAATATATCTATGAAAGCTAAACATATTATAATTTTATAAAATTATAGGTCAGCAATAAATAGGTTTAGTAGGAGATAGGAAAAAGTGCAACTTTGCAATTCAAATTTAACTCCTTAGAAAAAAATTGTATTGAGGAACTAGTTGCCAATATTTTTTATTTTACAGAAAAGTCTGGCAATGTAAAAACATGTTTAATAAATCACAGACAAACCTGTCCACCAACTGCATTATATAAAAATTCACAATGCAGTTATATTTATATGGGTTTACAATAATGAGGATGGACTGAATTTAAATTTAAGGTGATAATGATTTCTTAATTAAATATATTAAAAACCTTACAAAAGTAATATATTTTATATGGCTCCATAATTAAATTGTCCAAGACTATTTTCACCAGAGCTATCAGGTATGAGATGCAATGCATTGTATAATCTGATTAAACACTGCATGGTATCTTTCACATTAAATTAAGTAGTGGTTCAACTAATCTAAGGTAAATGACTAAGTATAGATGTAAAGAATTGTTGGCCCTAGATTTAATTTCCTAGTCACCTTAAGACAAATGTCTAGAAGTGATCATCTCTGTGTGGATGTTGTAAAATACATCAAAAACATTCTAGACAAAGTTCTGTGAAAATATGTTTTTTTTTAACTTTCTTATGGCTGTATTTCTTAAGTTTTTCCTTTTCTTCATCTCTCATTCTTTATCCACATCTTCACCTTTCTAGGAATGTTTAAATCTTTTCAGCTGGACAGAACAGTAACATGTGTTTAATTACTTATATGAATACAATTTATATTTTAAATTGAAAAAGCAAATTATGAAGTATCTTTTATATATTTGCTTCAAAATTCCCTCAAGCCTTCTAAATAAGCTGTCTACTTAGGAAACTCAATTTTTGCCTATGCATGGATAGCTTGATAGAGAAAGGATTTCGTGTTCCTGGAATAAACTCATGAGAAAATGCATCACAACCATTTATTTCAATTTTCTATTAACAAGAAAAACAATTTTTCCTATCTGGCACTAGAGATGGAACCCAGTAGTTCTCCATCACTTAAGGTACATCCTTAGCCCTTTTGATTTTGAGACAGGTTCTTTCTAAGTTGCCCAGGCTGGTCATGAATGTGTAATCCTCTGCCCTTAGCCTCCTGAGGAGCTAGAATTTTAAGAGCCTGCCACTGCACCAGCTAAAAAGCTTTTTAAAAAGCTAGATTTCCCGTCCTTGGTAGTATGATTATAGCTAGAAGAAAATGAGTGTGTGTTATTAAAATTATAAGTTCAGACTGCTTTATTGATTAATAAAAATGTACTTCATATCATAGGAAAAAGTGACATCCTCTTTATTTTGTAGATGAAATAGTAGAAGTCCAAAATGATTACTTCTACAGTTTAAGAGAGTAGGTCAATAGCAAGAAAGAAACTTCATTGAGATCACTATTTGAATGCTATTCATTCATCCTAAACACCTGGCAAGCAGGTGTTAAAGCCTGCCATACAGTATAACATGAAACGCTTGACAAACACATTTAGGATAGCATATCAGTGATGTAGGAAATACTGTGCCAAAGCCATTATTTCCTCAAACATATACTGTGGTATCAAATAGCTAATTGCATAGCAGGAACTGCTTAATTGAAGGGAAATATCAAATTTACTTAGAGATGAATAACAACTAAACAAATTTCATAAAAAGATTAAAAGGACAAAAGAGTTGGCCTTTATCAGTATTGCTGTACAGAACAGTCCAATGTTCAATTGTATAAATAATAGTTAATAGAGATTTTGTTAATAGCTTTAACAGTTAACTTCATTTTTTTTTTCTTTCACGGAATGTGATGTACAGCTGGAATGACTTTCAAAGTTTTGTGGTTATTGTAGGGACAAAGTAGGGTATATAAAAGATAGGCTAGCTAGAAGTAGTGGGTGCATCTGTAGTCTCAGCTGTTCAGGAGGTGGGAGGGTTATTTGATCCCAAAGGTTCAAGAGCAGGCTGGGCAATATAGTGAGACCCCATCACAAACAAAAGAAGACAAAAGAAAGAAAATAAAACAAAACACAGGCTTTGAAACACCAAATGTATGTGAGTCAAGATGAATGAGAGTTCAGCTAAACGAAAAACATTTGTTTGCTGAAATTAATAGCCTACATGTGTTTTGAATCCCACGACATTTTATAGGCACATATAAATTGGGTCCAATAAAATGTTAGAATAAATTTAAGCACCTCAAAATTTAGAATGACCTTTGTACATGGATAAGTGATTGTAGTTCACTAATAACAAGATGTTTTAACTTAACTAATGAACATTACTAATGAGATTCATTGCAAAGCCAAGGCAAAATACTTTTAATGATTTCTAAATAATAGATATTTTCCTCTGTGTGTTTGTGTGAGTGTGTATAGGGAGTTCTTATATTTACATAGGAAACAGGGGCAATTACAATCTAGTGAAAAGAACACAAGGTAGATGTGAACATTTTCTACATGGCTTTCTGAATTGTTAAAAAAAAAAAAAGTAAATCACCTTTGCTTGCTGCAATCAATAATCCCTACAGAGTTACTCATAATTCTTTCAGAATCATTTACCAGTGCAAAAATAGCCATCAGCTAGTCCTGTTCACTTGTTGTAGATAATCGTTAACTACTGATTGCACTGCCTTTGAGACTATTTCCATAGAAAGAGTTTGGCATAACCTCCTTAAAAGAGTCTTATTAACACAAATAAATCACCTTCTCAGGCTGTAAACAATATATGAAAAATGAAGCTCTATTTTTTGCTGTCCTTGCCATCTTTACCTTTGTCTTCTTTTTCTGTTTTGTCTGTTTCATATTTCTCTTGCTCTGGCTTGGTTACACTATCGTATGAAGGTGGTGAAATGGTAGATGGAGTTGCATCTGTTTTTTCTGGACTGGAGTTCCCATTAACATTATCAAAAACTATTTCTTCTTTGTTAGGCAAGTCATCATCTCTGTCTCCATCTTTTATGTATATACTTGATATATTTTTGACATTTTTCCGTAAGCGGTAATGTCTGTAAGCACGCTGAATGACAGTAGCAGACACATCCTCTTGTTTTCTTTTTAACGTAGTTGTGATAGGTTCATAGGACACTTTAGAAGGATTTGCAGACATGAACCTTTCTTCCATCTGTGAACGAAGAGAATCCATCTCCCCACCTTCACCCAAAACCCGCTTTGTAAAAGCAAATAAGATGTCCAGGCAGTGGATCCGGTCTCCACTGAACAGACACATCCTTGTTTTCTTTTTAACGTAGTTGTGATAGGTTCATAGGACACTTTAGAAGGATTTGCAGACATGAACCTTTCTTCCATCTGTGAACGAAGAGAATCCATCTCCCCACCTTCACCCAAAACCCGCTTTGTGTAAAA